CTAGATCTTTTCGCATAAATGCAGGTGTTCCACACGACTCTATCCTTGGACTTAAGTTGTTTCTAATTTTCATAAATTACTTTTCTGATGTCATCAGTTCTATACTGATGACACAACTATTTATTCATGTCTTAATAGTAAGTCTAATCGGTTTGATGAGGTCAAATTGGCAGCTGATCTACAATCTGTTGTTAAATGGAACAAGAAGTGGCTTATTGATTTTAACGCCTCAAAAATGAAACTGCTCTCTTTTAATCATCTGTAAGAACGCTTTTTACCTTCCATCCGCATGGCTGATCCTAGCCACCAGGAGAGTGACTCATTGCGTCTTCTCGGACTAACATTTTCAGCTGACATCAAATGGAAAGAGTATATTGAATCAATTGCTAAGTCTGCAGCGAAGGAAGTTGTTTCACTATGCCGTGTTAGACAAGTTTTTTCGCCAGAATCTATCTTACATATTTATAAGTCTACCACGCGTCCTTCATTTAAATATTGCTGTCACGTCTGGTCTAGTTCTTTTGCTACGTATTTAGAGATTCTTGATAAGAATCTGCAATGTTATTGGTTCTGATCTGACATCTCGGTTTCAGTCCCTTTCCCACCGCCGTAACCTAGCTTCCCTATGCCTTTTCTGTAAATGCTTTCATTGTAATTGTTCTGATGAACATTCCTCTATAGAGACTCTGAGGTATTATGGTGACTGTAGTAAGCATGGTAAGTAAGAATGTGTTGTTTTGGTGTAAGGAATACGGTGGTATGCCTGGGTCAGTAATTGTGGATAGCCAAGTTTAAGATAAGACAGATTGAAATCCAGTTTTCCCATTTCCCCCTTTTGAACTTGCATCACATCTTAGTATTTCTAAAATAAATATCCCTTTCCTCTATGGTACCTAGACTTTATGAAGTTTTTGATTGGCGTCAAAGTCTCGTCATTCTACAGTTTAAACAAAGCTGCTCTCTTTTAATCATCTGTAAGAACCCTTTTTACCTTCCATCCGCGTGGCTGATGCTAACCTCCAGGAGAGTGACTCATTGCACTTTCTCGGACTAACATTTTTAGCTGACATCGTGGAAAGAGTATATTGAATGAATTGCTAAGTCTGCAGCTAAGAAAGTTGTTTCACTTTGCCGTGTTAGACAAGTCTTCTCGCCAGAATCTATCTTAAAGTTTTTTTTTTTTTTTTTTTTTTTTTGGTTCTTAGTACAAGTATCCTTTTCTTTTTTCTAGAAACCTCTTTATTGCTCAGATTATCAGTCAATGATATCATCAGCATCCTTCTGTTGGACCACATTTCTGTTGCCTCTGTGAGGAGGAATTAGTGGGTATGAATAATTTGCTTATTAACGAGCAAATCTCTCAAACTGAAAACACTTTTCGTGATGGTTTTTTGTTTATAAAAAATCATTACGAAATGTATTTTCAGTTTGAGAGCTTTGCAACAGCTTGTAAGTCAATTTTAAGATCAGCTGCCAATCTGACCTTATCGGACAGTTTAGATTTACTATTAAGACAGGAACAAACAGTTGTGTCATCGGCATAAAACTGATGACATCAGGAAGGTCATTTACGAAAATTAGAAAATAAAGTAGGTCCAATAATATAGTTTCGTGGAACAACTTTCTTCGCTGCAGACTTAGCAATTGATTCAATATACTCTTTCCACGATGTTAGCTGAAAATGTTAGTCCGAGAAGACGCTATGAGTCACTTTCCTGGTGGTTAGCATCAGCCATGCGGATGGAAGGTAAAAAGGGTTCTTACAGATGATTAAAAGAGAGTAGTTTCATTTTTGAGGCGTTAAAATTAATAAGCCACTTCTTGTTCCATTTAACAACAGATTGTAGGTCATTTTTAAGATCAGCTGACAATTTGTCCTCATCGAACCGATTAGACTTACTGTTAAGACATGAATAAATAGTTATGTCATCAGTATAGAACTGATGACATCAGGAAAGTAATTTATGAAAATTAGAAACTTAGGTCCGAGGATAGAGTCGTGTGGAACACCTGCATTTATGCGAAAAGATCTAGAAGAATGGCTATTTAAGACAACTTTCATTTCGCGATTTGATAAGAATGACTGAATCAGTTAAAAAATTCGCCCAGGAATACCATAACATTTCAACTTGTGAAGACGATCAGTATGCCAAACCATGTTCAAATGCCTTCGAGATATGCAAAACAACAGCCCGAGCTTCACTATTCTTATCAAAACGTGATAGACTTTTTTTCATCAATAATTGTTAAAAACAGAAGCGGACGAAGAGAAGAGAAAGCCATATTGCTTATCTGTCTGAATGATGCGTACAAATGAGAGACTCTGTGAATTTTAAATAAAAAAAAAATTAAATAAAAAATAAGAAATTTAAATTTCATATCATCTCTCGTTTCCGAACCGATTAGACTTACTATTAAGACATGAATAAATAGTTGTGTCATCAGTATAGAACTGATGACATCAGGAAAGTAATTTGTGAAAATTAGAAACAACTTAGGTCCAAGGATAGAGTCGTGTGGAATACCTGCATTTATGCAAAAAAAGATCTAGAAAAGTGGCCATTTTCCTCATGCCTTTTATAAACAGTCTCTTCTTGGTGTTAAATATATAAAGTGACCAGCGTTAGTTTATTTGATGGTATTCATAACCAAATTTAAATGCAAATTAATTCAGATCAATTCGGATGGAAACAAATTCGTAATATCTATTTCCATCAATAATTCCGTGTATTCATAACGTATTGTGCTCCGTTGAATGAAATGGAGACCACAAAATGAGCTATTCTTAATGTCCATAAATTAACCGAGGCAGAAAATGGATTATATTTACCTCCCGTATACATTTACTCTGATTTTCTTTCTCTTTTCCCCTTTTTACATAAATAGATATTGTGGCCAGATGAAGAGGTCAGCCCTTCTCCCATGAGTAAAACGTAAGACTTGGCTGGCGACCTCCATTAGAAAACCTCTTTGGGGTTTGGAATTGGAATATCACTCGAGGATTCAATATTTGTGATAACAGGTCACCAAAGATTCGGTTAATTAGGAAACGATAAGACGAAATCAGCGGCGGGAGTTTAGCAGAACAGCAGTTTTGACTAAGGACGAAAGGAGGTTCGATCTTTTTCTTTCACCAATAATTATTTCTGTAAATATTTTAAACGGACTCATCTTATAGCCCGCTTTACTTTCGAATATAAATATATATAAATATAAGTGTCTATAAATATAAATTGATATAAAGTCTTACTTTCCTTGGTATTTAATAAGACTTCAAAATACTGAATATATATTTTCTAAACAAATAAAGAGAAGACACGCATTCTCACGAGAATACGCAAAACGCGACGTATGTGGTGGGGTAGATGGATGAATCTGTGCGTGTATGTGTGTGTGTGTATTTCATGACATGTCCCTTGAGAACAAAGGTGATCATGGCACTCCAGAGATTCCTTTTCTTTAATATCTGGCATGTAAAAGAATAATGGCAGACCAATTTCAATATTTTGTCCTGCGTATAATTCATCCAGGACTCAGTCTTGACTTATAACAATAGTTTTAAATCTGCTTGTCAGAAATTCCCGGAATCAGATGTAGTCTGTTTCTTTTTGTTTTTTTCGAAATTTTAGCATATATATATATATATATATATATATATATATATGGTCTCCAATGCTGATCTTCTCACAAAATGCAACTTTGGTAGAATTGAAATTTTCCTGATGCAGTCACATCTTTGCTGGGATGGTTATGTTGCAAAGATGAGTGATGACAAAATACTTAAGGTCCTCATGTATAGCCAGCTTAACAGTGGACAAAGGACTGTTGGACGGCTGTGACTCAGGTGTAAAGACAAACTAAAGGGTAACCTGTCAACTGTCAACGTGCCTCATACTAACTTCGAGCGAGTTGCTCTGGATAGAAGTAACTGGAGATAATTGTGCCAGAGTGTTATCAGAAATTTCGAAATCAGTCGTATTTACCGGCTAAGAAGCGAAAGACAACGGCGAAAAGCGTCAACAAATATTCCTGTGGCCATGTCTCGAGATCGTCGCTGTGGTACAATATGTGGACTTGTATGCACGTCACTAGTGAGACCGAATTGTCACATACAACACAAACATAAAAACTGAATGGGGCTGTCGGATCCTCATACGTCGAAATCGACGGGAGAGTCCATTACATGGGTAAACCTAAGTAGGATAAAATCCAAAGAGCTCAATGTAAATCCACAGCAAATAATTTAAATAATTATTTCACCACAGCCTGATGATTCGCAGTCCTTTAAAAAGGCTGTGGTGAAATAATTTATTACATGGAATCTTAAAGTGGTCTGTTTTTATTTAACATATATATATATATATATAATTGGTGGAACCTATTGAAGAATGGACTAAAGAATTATAAAAAAATATGTTAATCTATGAAACTCTAGTCTTGTCTTGAATATAGCATCAATCAGTTGAGTGACAAATTTTATTTGTATTAATCAAATATATATATATATATATATATAATTTAGAATATCAGACAACCACGATACCTTGGTTTCAACCTTTCGGTATCCTCAGGCGATTCAGGTCATATCATCTCCTAACACTGTATAAGACCAAAACAATCTACTGAATGAAAGATCGGAAATAATGACACTATGCATACACAATAAAATGTATTTTTTGCGTTCGTACGAACCAGGATGAAAGTATGTACATTTTATTTACTCCCCGTCCAATACAATTTCAATACTCTTACTTTACTCCTCCCCTTCTATTACACTTCACGTTGTGCGTTTATATATGAATAATAAAGTGTTAGGAAATCATTTGGCCTGTATCGCCTGAGGATACCGAAAGTTTGAAAGAAAAGTAGCGTGACTGGATGATCTCCTAATGTTTTTAAATTTAAAAGCTCTGCATGTTAAATTTTAATTTTCTTTATACGTGTATTGAGCACGTTTTAATACAAATGTTTCCTGGTCCAATTCAACTCTGACCAATAACTGTTTTATTATTATGTAGATAGATAGATAGATAGATAGATAGATAGATAGATAGATAGATAGATAGATAGATAGATATGAGAAGATAGATAGATAGATAGATAGATAGATAGATATGTGACGTTCTAACCTTTTGCTGATTCGGATGGGAATATGGTTAGATTCGGTATCAGCCTTATCGTTCACAGCTCGCCTCCAACGTTTGGTTACCGAAGTAACTGCTTTGATTTCTAGTCTAACCTACCCACGTTGTGATTTGATCTTAGGTAGACGAAATCAATCAGTCGCCGGGCCATAATGCAAGTCGGGTCCGAACAAGGACAATACCGCACAAGTATATGTAAAAGAAAAGAAAATAATAACTCGAAAAGTTCAAATGTGTTAAAAAAGGATAACAATATTTTATATCTGGTTGCGAAATACAGGACTGCGTCTTTCTCCCAAACCGCTATATGGATTCGTGACACTTTATGTTTGTTAGGCGAGTCTTAACATCTTAAGTTGTTTGCTCTTTAAGAAACCGGTTCTTGGTGTATCCTCAGGCGATATTCGTAAAACTTGTTTTGGTGGTGTGAGTCTAAGTCATTCTTCAAAAATAAATTGTTCTTGGTTAGAAGTTGAGGTCGTGATTTGCGTGGAATCTTTCAGTCAGGTTCCTGCGAGGCGGGCCCAACTCAATCCAACTCAGCTGCGAACTTAACTGGAACTGCCAACTCAACTGGAACTGCCTTTCACTCGCTGCGACTCTGCTTATATGGACGCCGACCAAAACCGGGGTGGGCTTGTCGGGGTTTGAGGTTCCTTGATAAATCCACAATCCACTTCTTTGTTTTCGATCAGGAAAATTTATTATTTTCCATTTTTGGAAGTCTTTCGTCCTCCCACCTTCTTCTGTTCTCATATTGGTATCTCACCATCCCTCAGAGGGTGTCAACGGATTTCCCCCCTCTCTCACATGGCATATCATACCGATCACTTCAGTGGGGGGTGTCAACAGGCCTCCCCTCCTTCTTCACATGATTACCTTCGCCTGCCGCTCACGCCAGCATTCAGCCAATGGGCGCCCAGCAGTGTGGGTGTGGCCAGACTGTCCTCGGTTTAAAAAAATCTTGCTCAAAGAAAAAAAAATTATCTTCCTTTTTCTTTTCTTCCTTTCTTTCCTTTCTTCTGCCCGACAACAAGTCCTTAGACTCTTAACCGAATTTCATATGAAATTCGTCACTCGGAACCTTCGCCAAACAAGTGGGTGGTCAATTGGACGTATCGCACCTTGGTGTCAATTATTCGTTCTGATAAAATAATTTTGCTATCATAGCCAGCCCTGACAATAAACAGGTGTTTTTCCCAAATGACTTGGAGGTGGTTCAACGGACATTTTGGTTTCGGTCAAGCTTGACCTAATTAATTTTTATCTCCCAGCACTCTGCGGGAGGTCGCTTGTCCAACTTGAAATTTTTACCATTGCCATGGGCAGATTGGATATATTTTATTCGGTGCGTCGTCATAAATTAAATTAAATCCGACACATCCGTGACCTTACTTTCCTCGCTAATGAGAATAAAACCATTAGCATTTTTCTTTGTTAAAAAGAATAACATCGCTTAGTGTCCTTTTCGTGATGGCTTCTTATCACCTAAATTTAATTCTCGCCTTTCTTTTTTTTTTTCTTCTTTCTTTCTAGCAACCTAAATAGTGTGATAGATAGATAGATAGATAGATAGATAGATAGATAGATAGATCAGAATCTTCATATCTCAATATTTATCTAAGTATCTTTCTCAGTCTATCTATCATACCAATCAGTCTATCTATCTTTCTCTCTCTCTCTCTCTCTCTCTCTCTCTCTCCTTCTCTCTATCACTCGACCTGTCTCGACCTTTGCTTACATCTATCTGTTTATCTCTTTATCTGTCTGTCTATCCAAAGGACCAAATTTTGATCAAAGTTAATATGAAAGTACGCCAACGTTGATCTTCAAATATGATAGCTTACATAAAATGATCCTCTCCTATCCACACATTGTTCTATGTTTTGTCTTCCTAACACAACAATTTTACTGGAACATCCGTCGTTCTCATAACATCTCGTTGATTTTGTATAGCGGCATATCAGTCTCTATACATAACGTTTATCAAATATCCACAATTAAACAGCATAAATATCTTTCTATTTTGCCGGTCACCATTCAGACCATCAGAAAGTTCTACAATATACCGAGTCTTTATATGCATTGACTATTGACTAAACTTACCTTAGCATTTTATGACGAGAAGGAGACTGTATTGTGCGAGAAAGGATGCTCAATTTAAAGTTTAATTAAACTGCAATGAAACAAATATTACTTTGAAATATCGCAGGAAATCATCAATTTTAACAGGGAGCGGATGTTTTCCTGACGATTTGAAGAATTTTCTGACATCTTAATTTACATCTGATCTACTGTTCCTGCTATATATTCAGAGATTCTTGACAAAATCCAAAGAACCTGCAATGTTATTGGTCCTGACCTGGCGTCTCGGCTTCAGTCCCTATCCCACTGCCATTTCATAGCCTCCCTGTGCCTTTTCTATAAATACTTTCATGGTACACTTTCTGTTGAACTTTCCACTATGATTGCAAATACTCATTGGGGCTACTTTTAGAATTGTTGTTTTATTCCCCTCCCCCTACAGACAATGAATTGTAAATATGGGGACTAGTTAGTATTTTTATAGAGACAAAGAGGTATTATGTTGGTTGTAGTAAGAAAGGTACGTATGAATGTGTTGTTTTGGTGATAAAGAATATTGTTCGTACGATTGGGTCAGTGTTTGCGGCTAGCTAAGTTATAGTTAAGACAGAACAAGACCGTCCTTTCCCCAATCCCCTTTTCGACCATGTGCCACATTTCTGTATTAAACAGAATAAATATCACTTTCCACTAGCCTAGACTTTATGAATTTAAGCGCAGTACTAGATGGGCGAAAGGTCTCATCATTTTAGTCAAAATGGCTAAATGTAACGGTAAGTTCTTTGCTAATAGTTTTTTCTATCGCATCTCTCGTTGTCGAAATCTCTTCCGGCTTTTTGTTTCCCTGTCAACTTTGATCTTCAAAAGTTTAAATGCAATTTTAATCGTTATCTTCTGTCGTCTTAATTCTTGTTCTTTTAGTGTCCTTTCTCCTTAATAGTATTTTTTCTAATATTCTCTAATACTCGGTAACAACTTGTGTCCTAGTGGCTTTATTGCCTTGCTTGTGGTGAAATGATTAAAAACAATAATGTCTCAGTTTTATTGCATTATTCTACGGTTTAGGGTAGATTTTCTATAACTGGGGATCTTGTTTGGCCAAAGTAATTCATAATTTAAATTCTCCGGGGACTTCTACTTATGACAAATATAAAAATGAAGCGACACAAAAAAGAATATCTGGAAATTTCATACAATTAAATAAAAGTTGGGGGTGGGGTAAGAGATTTACAAAAACAGTATTTTTGCAAAGATTTTCAAGAAACGTTTCGGAAATAATTTACTTCATTTGTGAATAAGTCCTGAAAGTTCCATTAAAATCTAACAATTATTGATTTTTGCAAGAATTTCAAAATCAGTGTGTTTTGCTCCACAAAATGACGCTAAATTGCCGATACTTATTTAGGATCATCCGTTGGCACAAGAAAAACAAAGTTTTAACAAAAATTTCCAAATTCTGGAAATCTATAAAAAAAAATAATTTGTTACTTCAAAAAATCCTTTGATCTTTCCACTTAATGATAACAAAAATATTTTGACGATAAAATTTTGTTTTTATGTTTTGAGGATTTTTTACATGATGTCGTCTCCTTTTTTAATGAAGTTTCGGAGTTACCTATGTACCTATATATATATATATACATAGAGAGAGAGAGAGAGCGAGAGAGAGAGAGTCATGTGTGTGCACGCGCGTGCTAGTTTCTAAACTATTAGCTGAAACTGCCGGAAAATCTCTTTTACTTTGATTTAACATATATATATATGTGTGTGTGTGTGTGTGTGTCTGTGTCTGTGTGTTCTGAACTGAACCAACTTGACCACAATGCCACTGTTCTGTAACAGGAATCATCGACCTTCTCCACGCCTATTGAATTCAGGTCACGACCGCCGATCCTTACTTTCTACAAAATCCTTAACTCTCCCACTTTCAGGTCACAGGAAGTTTCCCAACATTGCACCTACTTGGAATTGACTTGTAAAAGGACATTTTCAATCCTTACGCGTCCGCTTAACTTTTACCCTTTAAAGCCTTCACTGACCTATGCATTCGTACAAATACCTTCCAATCGTGTATGCGCATTTAATATTGGTCTGGCCAAAAACAAAGATCGTTCGCTTAGAAAATTTACTTAATAAACCGAAAGAATTTTATGGACAAACCAAAATAATGATGTTTTATATCTAAAAATTCGTTTCGTCGGAAATAATCAAATATTAGCAAATTAGCGGCTATTTCTTTTGTCATTGATATAGTTCGCCTATTGGTACATAAGCAACAGATATGTAGTTCTACAGAAGAATATCATATATAGACAATATAAGCAGCAGAAAAGTTTTAAGGAAATTGGAAACAAAACATGTCACTAATAGTTAAAATAAGAAAGATTAATTGAAAGATTGATTCATTTTTATGGCTGGTGAACCTTTATGGCTTATTTAAAGCCAGAAAATATATTTAGAGTGTATGAATTTTTTTTTTTATTAATTAACCAGTAGCTGGAAAGAGAGAAGTGTGTTCATATCTTTCCCAAGTGTATTTTTGCGTAAGTGAATATATAATCAGCCCAATTGAAATTGGAACACGGCTCACCGATTAAAAATTCAGAAGTATTATCCACTGCACCACCAGCACATCCAACCTAACAACACATGATATTCCCAAGCGGTAACCCTTCTACGTACTGACCTGGCTTGACGTTGCTTAACTTCGGAGATCGTAAGGGTACCGGTGTTTCAACGTGATATCTCCGTAAGTCAGCTGCTATATAGGTTTTTAGGCATTACATAATGTCATGGTCCAGGGTGATGGTCCAAGGTAGAACCAATAAAGAAGAACTCGAACACGGATATGGAATAACACAGATATATTAGAAACAGGAATATATACAGAGAAGTAGAAAGTGTTAGTACGAACAATCAGGTTTAGTAGAGAGAACAATGTAGTCTCGACCAGTATCACTATTCCAATGTCTTGTAGTAATTGTCTGAATGCGACTCTGTTTCGGACTGCCTCTGACTCGACTGACTAACTCGCTCGCTCTGACTGACTGACTGACAGACTCCTGACGGACTTTTGACGGACCTCACTCCAGACTTCAGACTGAACAGTATTTAGTCACCCCCCCCCACCCCACGAGGGCATCATGTGGCACAAGGCCGGTTTAACGTGGGATCTCCGAGCCTGTGGGATCTCCGAGCCTGTGGGATCTCCGAGCCTGTGGGATCTCCGAGCCTGTGGGCTCGGCCAAAACTATGCCCTTTCAACCAGTATAAACGTGTTCAGGGTCGGTTTACCTCCCCGAAAGAGACTCCGCCCTTCGGCGTAGCATCGTTCGCGTTCCTCCCCGTCCGAAGGCAGAGAGGTCAACCGATCAGCCAGTCAGCCGGTCGCCTGACTTCAGACGGAACAGTATTTAATCACCCCCCCCCCCCACGAGGGCATCATGTGACACAAGGCCGGTTTAACGTCGGTATCCGAGCCCCTTGGACTCGGCCAAAAATATGCCCTTTGAACCCATATAAACGGGTTCAGGGTCGGTTTACCTCCCCGAAAGAGACTCCGCCCTTCGGCGTAGCCTCGTTCGGGTTCCTCCCCGCCCGAAGGCAGAGAGTTCAACCGATCAGCCGGTGAGCCGGTTGCCCGACTTCACGCTGAACTCCCTGCTTCCTCTTGAGGCGCAGTATTTATTACGTATGGAATAGTCCATTATGTTATTATGTGTAAGGTCCCATAACACATAGCAATTGACAAAATAACATTCTCTCTAAGGATATGTTTCTATCTCTTAAATTATTCTTCCTAAAATTTTGCAATATTATTGCGCTGGCTAAAATATTCATTCGTTTAAGTAGTAAATTTATTTAATAAACCGAACAAACTTTTTGGACAACCCAGTACAATGTTTTGACTGCACTCATCCAAATTACTTACTGTGCATATTTATTATAGTGTATACTTTACGCATTATATTTCCTGACGTGTAAGAATTATTTCTTTACTTGTGTACATTTATTTACACCTATATATTTGTCTTTAGTAATTATCTATAAAAACTGTAGTCGAGAATTGGAACGAAAACTGTGATAAAACGTATTCTGAACCCATCATAAATATCCAAAGTGTGGTATTAGTAAAATCTAAACGCTTCAAATACCTCGGTGTATGGATTAGTTATAACAAATTTAGTATACTTTTATACAAGGTTGGTTAAAAACCAACAAATATTCTTTGTTAAAGTTTGTTTTTTTTGGGGTTTTTTTTTTTGGTATTTTAAATGATTTTAATTTCTGGTGAAAATTCTACTATATTTGTGCCTGCCCCTCGCTTAGTTAGTTCGTGAAAGAAAGAAAGAAAGACTGTCTGTCTGTCTGTCTGTCTCTCTCTCTCTCTCTCTCTCTCTCTCTCTCTCTCTCTCCCCCAATTACCTCGTAAATAATGGACTATTCTGTTTTGATTGCGTAAAAGCGGGGGGGGGCAGACACTGCTTTTGAAAGAAAGAAAGAAAGAAAGACTGTCTCCTGCCATTACTTCATAAATAATGGACTATTCTGTTTTGATTGCGTCGCACTTCTTTTGAAAGAAAGAAAGAAAGAAAGACTGTCTCCTGCCATTACTTCATAAATAATGGACTATTCTGTTTTGATTGCGTAAAGCGGTGGGGGCAGACACTGCTTTTGAAAGAAAGAAAGAAAGAAAGAAAAAGAAAGAAAGAAAGAAAGAAAGAAAGAAAGAAAGAAAGAAAGAAAGACTGTCTCCTGCCATTACCTCATAAATAATGGATTATTCTGTTTTGATCGTGTAGAAAAAGGGGAACAAATACTACTCGGTTTTAGTGAGAAAATGAACGAAAGAATGATTTGTAGATAGAAGCGGTTAATGGTATTTTCAGTAAAATAGAAAGAGCTGTCACTTTCAAATCTTTTCATTTGTACCTCCTTACTTTTTAAAATAACAACCAGCATCCATATTTATGATTGTTACTGCAATATTTTCTTAAAGTTGTTAAGCTCGAATATTTAACGGTGTGGTAGGGGAATTTCTACGGATATTTTATTATCGCAGAACTTACTCAATCATTAATTTATGAATTAAGATTCACCAGAAATTTCAAATAGGAAAACCGTGAAACTCTTACGGATTAAAACAAGTTGTTACTAATACTATTACTATTATTGCAATTATTGCTACTGTCTCGGGATGCTGGTATTTAGGTAGAAAACTGTCTCCTGGAATAGTCAGCCCCGCAACAATTATTGTGGACTTGTTGTGAGTTCAAGTTAATAATGAGTAGCCCAAAAGAATATAAAACAAATAACGCATGTATTAACAAAAGAATTATAATTACAATAAAAGAATATTTAATGACTAATTGTACAGAAAATATATTAAAAACTAGACAATGCACGTTTTGGGGTGTGTCTATGTATATGTTCAACTCTTGAGCGACTGTTTGGTTCAACTCTCTGTCTACGGACGGAGAGGAACCCGAAGGAGTCTACGCCGAAGGGCGAAGTCTCCTTCGGGGAGGTAAAACCGGCCCTGAACCCGTTTATACGGGTTCAATGGGCTGTTTTTTGGTCGAGCCTAATGGCTCGGAAAGCCCACGTTAAAAAGGCCTTGTGCCACATGACACCCTCGTGGCGGGGTGACTGAATATCGTCTATATATATGTGTATGAAATTGTGTAGATATACGTGATAGACACGTGTGTGAAAGAGTATAAAAAGTCAACGCAGAAAATTAAAACCATGAGAATGAACTTTCTCCAGTTGGGGAGGGGCACTTTTTTTCCCCACGTGCGACTACATTTTATAGACAAAAGCTAAAAGAAGGAAAGTATATTTACCCCGCTCTCCTCACTGAGATGAGATGTGACACAAGGTCGGATTAATGTGGGAGAGCGTACACCCGGGCCAGCGTCCAAAACTGCCCTGCCCTGCCCTGCCCTGCCCTGCCCTGCCCTGCCCTGCCCTGCCCTACCAACCCACGGTTGCGCTGGCTACGGCATCTCCCTCCTCTAGTGCAATAGGACAGGTACTGCTGCGGGCAGCTGTTCCCCGGGACCTGGCATCTCTCAGCATTCCCTAACCCCCCGCACCCAGTTGCATCTCTGTCCGCGAACAGAGACACAACTAAGCCGCACTCAACCTAACGACAGCGATGCAACAGACAGACGATGAAAAGAAGCCAAGGAGAAACATTCATGTTTTTTTTTTTTAATTTTTTTTTATAGGCTTAAGGAGCATCCCCTAGCGGCGGGTTTTAGCAAAGTTAAGTGGGATAACCCACACTCTTTATATTGCTGTTGATGCCTTTTTACATTTGTCTATTATATTTTCCATGCAACTATAACTAATTTAAACATTATATTTTACGTCACTTTCTGACATTTAATAACTACTTTGTTTGGAGGTGGAGGGGGAATGTTTATCAATTAACTTGAAAAATATTTTGCTTATTTTTGTTTTTATGTCATTGTTATAATGTGTGTTAAAACAAATTCAGTTCCACCTACTTCTGATTTGGTATTGTTTTCCTTTTTATATTCCAATTTTTTAATATACCCGCTGTTTCTTAAAACTCAATCATTTTTTTTTTTTTTTTTTTTTTTCGTTAAATATTTTGATGGTCTTAGAATTGTTGTGAGTCTTTTGCTGAGAGATATAGATATTTGTTTACAAGCAGCGGGGGTAGTTGGAATATTTATATATATTTCAAATATATAAATATATTTAATATATTTATTATTAATAACCTTTTGTTTTCTGTAAGGTATATCAGTGACATTTTTTAAATTAAATGATATATCTAAAAATGTTATTTCATTTGATCGTTTTCAATTGCGAATCACGTTTTTTTTTTCATTCTTCTAGCTAGCGATTATATATGTGTGTTTACAATACCTCATTAGCTAGCCACTCGTATTTGAAGATACCCGTCTACCAGGGGGGGGCTAGCCAATCCCTATTGCAGACTCTCGCTCAGGCACATTTGTATTTATTCAACACCCACAGAGCCCACCTGTGGTTTATCCTACAACTATGCTGAGCAGACCTTAGTTACAGTTTCTGGGAAAGAGTGTGTTATCTAGCGGGATCAACAATTTGAACAATGCCAGCACGCTCAAGCCCTCGGCCACGATGACTTGTGACTTCGTGCTCGCACAGCTATCCATCTACCCAATTCCACTCACAAGGCATGTGGTATGGTTTTCAGGCACTTTCCAAAGGTGACGCACGCTGGGATCGACCCCTCCAGTCCGATAACATCTGGAAGTGTCCTTCCTGACAAATCGATCATGGTAAAATTCGAACCGGGGTCTTATTTTCAGAATACGAACGTTCTAACCACTCGGCCACGATTGCGTTGGCCTCGGTAGCAACTACCGATTCCCCGTCTCCAATGCAATGAGACAGTTACAGCCTATATATATTACTATTATTCACCCAATACAGGACCCATGAGCCCCTCAAAGTAGAGTGTTACTGAATGAGATGTAAGAGCGTACGATGAAGTAGTAAGTGGTGCATATTATGAAGATGGACAGAAAACCGAGATTGAAACAGCTAAGATTGCGGAATCATTCGTTCGGGAGTCTAACAGTTCTGGTGAGTATTTAACAGGCGACGGCGGCGGCGAAGAAGAAGAAGAAGAAGAAGAAGAAGAAGAAGAAGAAGAAGAAGAAGCATTATTTACATTATTCGGACTATTGTCGTCATCTTTGTCGCCATATTTATCACAATGTTTCGGCCGTTGTACGCTCCGGCCTTCTTCAGGTGGTTGGACTGTCGAACCGAACTCTTTATTCGCTCACTGGGGTAGACTGTTCTAGTTCCACGTGGCATGTTTGATGGATGTCAGTTATCAGTTATCTCCTGCTAATTTCCCTCTGAAAGTTCTCCACTGCCTTAACCGGGTATTGAACTCACACTCTTTGGGTCCTGTCACTAACCAACGCCTTTATCCACTGTGCAATGTGTCCTTGCACAGAGTCCCACCGAGCGACATCGCTCGCTCACTTTCTGGTGAGACTGTTCGGTTAAACTCTCTTCCTACGGGCGAGAGGAACCCGAAGGAGGCTACGCCGAAGGGCGGAGTCTCCTTCGGGAGGTACGCTCGGCCCTGAACTCGTTTATACGGTTTCAAATGGGCTTTTTTTGGCCGAGCCTAATGGCTCGGAAATGCCCACGTTAAAAAGGCCTTGTGCCACATGACGCCCTCGTGGGGGGACGACTAAATATAGTCCTTGAGGTATGAATTTCTGGGTATTATAATTGTCCTTGAGGTATGAATTTCTGGGTCTTCAGTTACTATTTTTACCAGTGCTCATATTGCAATTTTGTTGTTATCATTGCACGAAGAAGAAGAAGAAGAAGAAGAACCACCACCACCACCACCACCACGACGTACCTTCTCGATTCATAATCGCCCAAGGGTATATGCGCCTAAGTGATCGTAACGGGCTCGATTGGAATACAAACTCTGCCCACCGATTTCTCATCTGAGCCGTTATCCATTACACCACCCGCACATCCATCCAAGCCTACAAGAAGAAAAAGAAGACTCAGATGTAGCATGTTTGGAGCATTGTCGAATAAGACCTAGTAACGACCAAAATATTACCAATGACCAACATGAATGAGAACCACCTGACCCGCTTTTAAAACCAAATCGTGAGGGTGATTTTATTGAATGAACATTTTTCTTAGATTTTTTCCTAACTCTAGAAAATTAGGTTCTATGACGTACTTGACAATTGTTAATGTTCATGTCCGATTAGAAAATTAAAAACAATATTTGTAAGTTCCGGCCTTCTTCAGGGGATTAGAATTTCGAACTGAACGCTTTATTTCGCCCACCGGAGTAGCTTGTTCTAGTTCCACGTGCCTTACCTCTTCCGGGTGTCTCAGTCATCTCCCTTTTACTCCACTCTCCAGGTTTTTCTTCACCATCGCAGTAGCCATGTATTGAACTCACAACTCTGTGTCAAGTCACTGGATCCAACCAACACTCTTATCCACCTAGCCCAGTTGAGATAAAGGGAGAGACATCTGAAACGTTGTGAATATGGCAATAAAGATGAGAACAATAGTCTGAAAATAATGTAAATAATTACAATACCTCATCTCAGAAATATAGACAAAATATTGCAAAAATATTAATAAGTCAAGGACATAGTTTTCGTTGTTTTAACAACTGTCTCCCATCCTTCTACAAGCTTGTTGAGGCAATTTTCGTAGAAACTTCATGTTTTTGTTGGAAGAAGTTTATTAGATAGTTTTCGACTGGCTGCACAGAGTCAATTTTTCTGCCATTTAAACTGATTTGTAAAGACCGAAAAAATAAAAATCCGAAGGAGCCAATTTCAGGAAAATACGATGGTTGCTGGAAGGTTTCCCCTTTAAACTCTTTAAGCTTCTGTAAGGTCTGTTTTGCAACATGCATTGTCGTGGTGGAAAATGGCACTTTTTTGTTTTGCCAAAATGGGCCATTTGTCTTGAACTCTAGTCTCTTCAATTGGCGAAAGGCAGTTGAGATATCGATTCTCAAATTCTTAGCAATTTCTTTCGTCGAAATCTTCGGTTTATTCTTCACGATGTCAAGCAGACCGTCTTCATCGATATCGGAATGTCGCCCAGGGCGTGGTTGATCGCTTAGGTTAAAATTATTCTGATGAAATTTTACCAAATCACTTTTTGACCGTCTGAAGAGCTGTAGCACGATCTAAATAAACCTTCTGAACGTTTTTGTCATTTGCTCCTTTTTCCGAAATTCATAGAGTAGATGACGAAACTGTAGCTTTTTATCCTTCATCTTTAAGGAATTCATTTGTGGGCAAAACATCAATTTTCAACAAAGCCTGACTCGCAACTGAACGATGCAAGTTTTCTATCTAGAACATACCAGAAATCATAACCAAAACAAACTCCAGTCATTTTATATTAACAATGAAAACTGGACCCGAATTCTTGTAATGATCTGATATCTTACAATTTTCATCCATGCACTGAATCTGCTATGTATCTAGAGATTCTTGACAAAATCCAAAGAAGAATCTGCAATATTATAGGTCCTGACCAGCGCGGTAGATCTAGGAAAGGCCTAGGTCTAATACAGAATTTTTACAGACTGAGATGATGATGAACAAGGTTGTCTTTTTTTCACCTGTTTTAAATGCAGCTCAGCTTAAAGGAATGTATTCGTGAGATGAATTTCCGATATCCTGAATTGTGAACGCACAGGTTTTATCATTGATAGCAACAACGCATCAAGCGAGATAATGTTATCCAGGGATCGGATATTAAATTTCTGTTTCAACCAAAATAAACATTTTTATGAAATTTACTTTATTTACTTTAAAAAGTTTAAATGGCCTTTAATTATTTTTTTCTGCTTATAAACATTTTTGCATGCTGTGACCATTTTTTGTATTCTTGTCAAAAGAAGCGCAAAAGCGAAGAATGAAACGTAGATTGGGTAGGAGGGGGAGAAATTAAGCAAACGATCGAAGTTGGCATTTTCAGACCATTATGTGTAATTTGTATGATTGAATTATCGATCAATAATCTGTAGAATGTCCATTGGATAAGAGATTTATGGTGGTGGATGATACATAAACGGATTGGAAAGTGGAAAGAGAAATAACTTTGAAAATATGAGAAAGAAAGAACGAAAGAAAGAAAGAAAGAAAGAAAGAAAGAAAGAAAGAAAAGACTGAAATAAATAAAAATAAGAAAGAAAGAAAGAAAGAAAGAAAGAAAGAAAAGACTGAAATAAATGAAAATAAGAAAGAAAGAAAGAAAAGACTGAAATAAATAAAGATAAGAAAGAAAGAAAGAAAGAAAGAAAGAAAAGACTGAAATAAATAAAAATAAGAAAGAAAGTGTGAAATAAATAAAAATAAGAAAGAAAGAAAGAAAGACTGTAATAAATAAAAATAAGAAAGAAAGAAAGCCTGAAATAAATAAAAATAAGAAAGAAAGAAAAGAAAAGACTGAAATAAATAAAAATAAGAAAGAAAGAAATAAAGACTGAAATTAATAGAAATAAGAGAGAAAGAAAGAAAGAAAGAAAGAAAGAAAGACTGAAATAAATAAAAATAAGATAGAAAGAAAGACTGAAATAAATATAATTTGAAAGAAAGAAAGAAAGAAAGAAAAGAGTGAAATAAATAAAAATAAGAAAGAAAGAAAGAAAGAAAGAGTGAAATAAATAAACATAAGAAAGAAAGAAAGAAAGAAAGAGTGAAATAAATAAAAATAAGAAAGAAAGAAAGAAGAGGCTGAAAATAAAGAGAGAAAAATACAAGTAAAAAAGAAAAAATAAAGAAAGAAGAGGCTAAAAATAAAGAAAAAAGTGTCTGAAAATAAATAAAGAAAAATATAAGTGAAAAAAGATAGAAAGAAAGAAGACACTAAAAATAAAGAAAGGAAAATACATGTAAAGAAAAGGAAAATAGAAAGAAGAGTCAAAATTAAGAAAGAAAGAAGAAGCTGAAAAGAAAAAAAGAAGAAACTGAAAAGAAAGAAAAACTATAAGTAAAGAAAGAGGCTACAAAGAAAGAAAGAAAGAAAGAAAGAAAGAAAGAAAGAAAGAAAGAAAGAAAGAAAGAAAGAAAGAAAGAAAGAAAGAAAGAAACAGACAAACAAACAAAAAAGTAAGTAAAGCAAGGATTTAAACCATTACTGGTGACAAGAAAATGTGAAAGATATTTGAAGTACTCAAAGAAAGAAAGAAAGAAAGAAAGAAAGAAAGAAATCTGAAAAGAAGGAAAAAATATAAGCAAAGAAAAAAGAATGGGACAATGGAAAAGAAAAAATGAGCAGAAATCCAATAATCAGATAGAAAGAATGAGGTTCAAATAGAAACAAAGAAACTCGAAATTGACTGAAGATGGAAAAATATGAATATATGTAAGGGTAAAAAACAAAAGAAAATTATTATGTCGCTTGAATTGGAGTTTTCCGGCAATGATTGATGCTAACCAGTCGACAAAAGACAACGAAAAGCGTTTAGAGATATAATAAGCGATTTGCAATTGTGGACAAAAACAAGGCTATACATTCTGAATAAATCCCCAGATGACGCAATTACAGTTGACCGTAACAGTGAAAATCTCTTAAACAAGTTTCACTTGCATGCAATAATGTGCGCCGACTAGAATTATTGTCCATCAGCCATGATTTCTCTTTTTATTTGTCTTTCTTTACACCACTTTTTTTTTTCATTTTATTTTATTTTCTACAATTTTTGCTTTAATCGTTTTGTTTTTTTCGTTTTTTTTTGTTTTTTTTCTATAAATCGAATAATTGCTCGTCTTTTTTTATTTCTTTCTTACAATTTTTCTATTTTTCCGGACATTTTATATTTAATTTTTTTTTTTTAATGTGTTTATTTTTTTAATATTTATGTATGAGCTCAACTGTCCTTTCGTTTTGTGTCCGGGAGTGGGGTGAGGAACACAATGAAGACCGACCTGCTATGGTCAGCGAGACGAACATGTTGAACATTATTTCACAGTGGATGAACGGTTAAAATATTTACACATTTTTCGCTTCTGATCACTATTATTCTTTTTTCCATTTTAGTCTCCCCCCTCTCACTCTCTCTCACCCTCTCTCTCTCTCACCGTATCCCTTATTTTCACGTGTTTCTTTTACCTCCTTTCTCCTCTATCTCTCTCTTTTCTTCTCACTATCTTATTTTCTTTTATCCTATTTTTCTCTTTTGCTCTCGTCTTTTCCTTTATATCTTTTCCCCTCTCTTTTCTCTTATGTTTTTCCTCTCTCTATATATATTATTTTCTCTTACCTCATTTCCCTACTCTCTCTTTGCTTCTCTCTTTTCCTCTCTCTCTCTCTCTCTCTCTCTCTCTCTCTCTTATTCTATTTATCTCATTTCTCTATCTTTTGCTCCTGTTTTCCTCTAAATTTGTTTAAGACCCTTTCTGTCTTTCTGTTCCTTATTTTCTTCCTCTCTCTCTCTCTCTCTCTCTCTCTCTCTATCTATCTATCTATCTATCTATCTATATATCTATCTCTATCTATCTATCTATCTATCTATCTTTTATTCTCTCTTATCCTATTTCTCTATCTTTTCATTTTTATTTTCTACTTTTGTTTTATCTTATACTCTTTCTATCACTCTCTCTTCTTTATTTTCTCTTCTCTCCCTCTCTCTCTCTCTCTCTGCAGTTTTCTTTATCTATCTCTCTCTCTTTCTCATTATTCTCTCTTATCCTGTTTTTCTATCTTTTTATCCTACACTTTACCTCTTTATTTTTTCACATTTTCCCAAGCTCTCTCTCCTACTCTCTCACTTTCTCTCCTCTTTTTATTTTCTCTTTTCTCCTTTTCTCACTCTCACTGATATTCTATTTTTTTAGTCCTCTCTTTTACTCTCACTTTTTCAGTTTTTCTTCTTTCCTTTTTCTCTGTCTGTCTTTCTGTCTCTCTATCTCTGTGTGAGTGTGCCTCTCTCTTTTTATTTCCTCTTTTTCTCTTCTTTATTTATGTTTCTTCCTTTCTCTCTCTCTCTCCCTCTCACTTTCTCTCTCTTTATATATCTCATATTTTCTCCTTTTCTTTCCTTTTATGTTTCTTTCGCTTTTATTTCTCTCTCTATTTCTTTCTCTCTCTGTTTATCTATCTCTTATTTTCTCTTTTTCTCTTATTCTTTCTTTTTATATCTCCTTCGCTTTTCTTTCCCTCCCTCCTTCCCTCTCTCTCTCTCTATTTATCTCTTATTTTCTCTTATTCTTTCTTTTTATATCTCCTTCGCTTTTCCCTCTCCCCCCTCTCTCTCTCTCTCTCTCTTTATGTATCTCTTATTTTCTCTTTTTCTCTTATTCTTTCTTTTTATATCTCCTTCGCTTTTCTCTCTCTCCCCCTCTCTCTCTCTCTCTCTCTATGTATCTCTTATTTTTTTTTTTTCTTATTCTTTTTTTTTTATATCTCCTTCTTTTCTTTTCTCTCTCTCTCTCTCTCTCTCTCTCTCTGTATTTTATTTTTTTTTTTCTTATTCTTTCTATTTATATCTCCTTCGCTTTTCTCTCCCACCTCTCTCTCTTTATGTATCTCTTATTTTCTCTTTTTCTCTTATTCTTTCTTTTTATATCTCTTTCGCTTTTCTCTCTCTCCCCCTCTCTCTCTCTCTCTCTGTATGTATCTCTTATTTTCTCTTATTCTTTCTTTTTATATCTCCTTCGCTTTTCTCTCCCTCCCTCTCTTTCTCTCTCTCTCTCTCTTTATGTATCTCTTATTTTCTTTTTCTTATTCTTTCTTTTTTATATCTCCTTTTTCTTTTTTCTCTCTCTCTCTCTCTCTATGTATCTCTTATTTTCTCTTTTTCTCTTATTCTTTCTTTTTATATCTCCTTCGCTTTTCTCTCTCTCCCCCCTCTCTCTCTTTATGTATCTCTTATTTTCTCTTGTTCTTTCTTTTTATATCTCCTTCGCTTTTCTCTCTCTCTCTCTCTCTCTCTCTTTCTATTTATCTCTTATTTTCTCTTTTTCTCTTATTCTTTCTTTTTATGTCTCCTTCACGTTTCTCTCCCTCCCCCTCTCTCTCTCTCTTTATGTATCTCTTATTTTCTCTTTTTCTCTTATTCTTTCTTTTTATATCTCTTTCTTTCTTTTTTCTCTCCTCTCTCTCCTCTCTCTCTCTGTATGTATCTCTTTATTTTCTCTTATTCTTTCTTTTTATATCTCCTTCACTTTTTATATCTCCCCCCTCTCTCTCTGTATGTATCTCTTATTTTTTCTTTTTCTCTTATTCTTTCTTTTTATATCTCCCTCGCCTTTCTCTCTCCCCCTCTCTCTCTCTTTATGTATCTCTTATTTTCTCTTTTCTCTTATTCTTTCTTTTTTATATCTCCTTCTCTTTCTCTCTCTCTTCTCTCTCTCTCTCTATGTATCTCTTTTTTTTTTTTTTCTTATTCTTTCATTTTTTTATATCTCCTATCTCTCTCTCTCTCTCTCTCGTAATTTATTTTGCCATCTTGTTTCTGTCCTCTTATCAATCAACTTATCAGATTTAATTTTCCTCTGTATCTATCAATTTTTTGGGCGGCTTTGTCGGTGGCCATATTACGCGATCAGTTAGAATCTGACAGAACATATCAAAGGCAAAAAACAGAGAAACGCAACGAGCCATCTATCTGACGAGCTTCTGTGAATGGATAGCAGAACTGGGTAGGAAGATTGGCAAAATGATAAACGTTACTAGGAACTACTATGGATAGGAGGCTGTGGAGAACTATGATCACCCACACCTTGAAGGGACACAGCACATAGAAGAAGTAATCGGTGTACAGGCTAGGAACAGGAAGCTTAATTTTCAAGGTATACGAATTCAATGCTGTAGAAAGACAGGAGTAATACAATATTCCTCAAGCGATCGTTGTGTCGTTTCTGTTTTGTTTTTTAATCGTGTTCACCCCAATCAAATCAGTAAATCCATGAAACACAACGGATTACTGGGTGTGGAAGAGTTAGAAACGGGAGCAATTATTAGGGAGGGAGAATAGAGGTAGAGTAATCAGGAGGGCAGTAGATAGCGGTTGACATTTCATTCAAAGTTTTACAGATTAAAGTTAGCTGGAAAGCATGAGACCGGACAAGCGTTCCACAGGTGGGAATTGCAAGAAAAGAAACTGTTATCATAGAATTTGCGTTTATATCTAGCCAACTCAACAGTAAATTAGGGAAACTTGGTCGCCAGTACTGCATTTACATTCAAAGAGTTTAGGCACCATAGCGAAGAACTCATGCGAACAATTACGATAAAAATATTTATGCAAAAGGCAAAGGGAGGCAACCTTACAGTGGCGGAAAAGTGACTGAAGCCGAGATATCAGATCGGGGCCAGTAATATTGCTGATTCTTCTTTGGATTGTATCCAGGAGCTCTAGATAAACAGTAGGGGCATCGGACCATATGTGGCAGCAATATTCTAAGCATGGACGAATGTTAGACATATAGATATGTAAGATAGATTTTGGAGAGAAAAACTGTCTCACACCACACAGCGAACCAACTTTCTTAGCAGCTGAACCAGCAATAGATTCAATATCGTTATTCCACTTCATGTCAGCCAAGAACGCTAGCCCAAGAAGGCGCAACTAGTCACTGGGATCAGCATGAACCATGCTGATGGAAGGCAGTGAGTGTGCTCTCAGATGATTAATAGAGAGCAGTTTACTTTTGGAGGCGTTAACATTAAGAAGCCATCTGCTGTCCCAGTTAACAAGAGACAGAAGGTTATTTATTTTGTAAAATCTGTAACGCCAACATTATATATATATATATATCTTATACGCGGATATATATATATATATATATATATATATATATATATATATATATATATATATATATAAAGAAATATAGTCTTAAGGTGTGCTATATTTATGGGATAAAGTGCTCAATATCAGAGATAGAGCGTGTGTAAAATATAAAAGTGAACATAGAAGTCAAAAACTTAGAGGCGACAGTCTGTTTCATGCTATATGCAATCGTCAGGCTAACATATGCTGTTATTTTTCTCGGCTATTTATATATATACGTTAATAAATAAATAAAAAAAAATAAAACGAGCAATATAATTTGACCCAAATAAATAAACAAAAGCGACTTCCGGTAAAAAAAATAACCGCCATAATAGAATACCCACAATGCACCACTAACCCGTATATATATAAATAGCCGAGAAAACTAACAGCATATGTGGCCTGACGATTGCATATAGCATGAAACAGACTGTCGCCTCTATGTTGACTTTATGTTCACTTTATATATATATATATATATATATATATATATATATATATATATATATATCCGCGTATAAGGCGACCTATAGATAGGGCGAGACCCCAAATCTAGATTAACTTTAGTGATTTTATCTGATATCAGTAATATAAGACGACCGACTGTAAATGACGATCTTTATAATGAGCTCTGTGCATCAGATGGTAACGAATTTAGTAGTTTTGATGGGATTTAATTATGTATGTTGATGTCTTATGTTTTTTATTCTGTGATGAGAAACAAATATTTTATGCCATCTTAAATGTTTTGTTATATAACATCGCAAAAAAATACTGTATAATATACGACAGTGAAAAATAAAATTTTCATATTATACTAAATGTTGTTGTAATTTAACAGCACAATGATGAGGAATTTTAATTAGAAATATAGATTGTATGATATCCTAAATGTTATTATTTAACACTACTATGATTGGTGTGGACGCGCCCATATTTCTACAAATAAAAAATGAAAGATTTGTTACGTTACTTGTTACTTGTGCGTGTTGCTTTGTGGAACACTTGCAAATTATTGTGTAATCGTCTCTTGAATAATGCATTTTAATGCGAAATCAAGAAGTCAAGCCAATTTTGTTACATTTATAACTATATAAAAACTTTTGCCATCGCCTGTATCCGGTGATGTAACCACGTTTAGTGGTCTAGTTGTCAGGGTCTTAGAACGACATTTTAACCACGAAACTAATTCTGCGCTGATTAATGCTGATAGTGATCCAAGCTGGTTTTTCACCGCTGGCCGCTTCAATCCACACTAACTCACACCACGTTGTGTTCTTGATCTCAGAGCAATAGAAGATCGAATGTCGTCATAATGGCAGCGCTGGTTCAGTCCGTGGCGGGGGTACATTAAGGAAGAAAAATACCTTCACGTCGAAAGAATAAAGCAAAACATTCATGGGGTTAATCTTCAATTGGTTTATATAGCTCTTGGTACAACAAAAATTAACCTTTTCTGTATCAATCTCTATAGTGACACTGGGCTTTATCTAAACTTCTGGGGAGCTGGGCTCAAAGTTCTTGAAATCAGGAAATCTGGTGGTAGCTGACGTGGATTCCAGAAGCACTTGAGCTTCCTATCATCATGCTTATATGCACTTCGGACCAAAACTGGTGTGGTGCTGAAAGGTTCTGAGGATTTGGTGAGTCACCAATTTTCACATAAATCCCAATAAAGGTTTTCTTTGTTCACTATTTCTGATTTCTTAATCAACTTACCAAATTTGGTGAATTATCCACCTTCTTTGGAAGTAGTGACAGGAATTGCTCCTCCCTTAACTCCATCCTGCTTCACTTCACATTTTGCACCACCACTCCATACAAGAGAGCTAAATTCTGCCTCTTCCTCCATCCTTCTAATTCTGTCCACCTCTTAAGATTAGCATAACTGTCTTTGTGATAAATCTAATTTTTAAAGTGCATGAGTGAAAAGGCGTAGTTTATTTTCCTTGTTAATTTCAATTCTCTGACCCCTTTCCAATTTCCTAAAATTACCTCTGTCCGGCGATAACACAAACCAGACCACAGCGTTTTCAATTAACCTTCTGAGCGACAGATAAAATTATTTCCCAATTTGTTTTCGTCAACGAAAATATATTTATTTACCTAACTTCTCAACACGCTGATCTCCATCCTTGAGCCTATCGCCGTCTTAGCGAAAACACAAACCAGATCACCTGCCTGTTACGACAGGATCGAGTTTCATAATCCTAAACCTTGTAGCGGGCTATTCCCTGTTTTAATTTCGCCAACGAAAATATAATTCCCGTCTTCTTCTCTTCTCGCCAATGACATGTGTTTTTCTAATTTCCCAAGAAAGCGATAAAGCCATTTCTCAATTTGTTTTACCCGCATGCCAGATTTTCGATAGATGAAAAAAGTAAACTCTTGGAGCATCATTACAATTTGTAGGGGTGGGGAGACAATAACGTGAATTGTTTTAACTAGAAATATTTACATCGGTAGTTATTGAGGTGGTTGTTAGCCTAACGAGATCCATGGAGCAAGTGCCAATATACCACAGGATTTAAGGTTAGCTTCCAAAGGCGAAATTTACGAGAAAAGAAACTATTAGAATAGAACTAGGTTACATCTAGCTATTTGAACAGTAAAAGGATGAAATGTAGTTGCCAATCTAGTAGCACGCTTAAATTCATTCGGTCAAGTTAACAAGAACAATTGTCATGAAAATATTGATAGAAAAGGCTGAGGGAAGCCACATCACGGCGATGCGAAAATGACTGAAGTCGAGATGCCTGGTCAGGATCGATAACATGACAGAGCTTTCTCTGGATTTTGTTAAAAGAATCTCGAGGTATATAGTAAGAGCACCAGACCAGATATGGCAGCAATATTCAATGCACGGACGGATGGTAGATTTATAAATGTGCAAGATGGATTCTGACGAGAAAAAAATCTGAAACGACACAGTGAACCAACATTTGTTTCACAGCAGACCTAGCAATTAGTTCAATATAATCTCTCCTGTTCTTATCAGAGTTCTTATAAGAAAACACACTGAGTTTATCTCCTGTAGGCTAGCATCAGCCTTACTGATAAAGGGTAATAAATAGTTCTCTATGATGAGGAAAAGATAGTGATTTACTTTTGAAGGCGTTATAATTTAATAGTCAAAGTTTGGTCGATCGAGTTGACTCAGTAAAAGGAAATGATATGAATTCAAGCAAATTTATAAACGGATCTGACTTAGCGAATTCAGGTGTTCCTAATTAGCCAATAAATATTAATATTAATGTTTGCTGATGATCTTCGTAGGGAGAGCAATTAGAGAAGTGATGAGATCAGGTGACTGCATCCGTTTCGGTTGTCGTGATTGTTCGCGAACGCTTTCTTGTCACACAGCCAATTCCGACTCAACGAATGGCTGCAATAACGTTGGTAGAACACACTATTGGTGACCGCGCGGCCTTCGAAGCTTATGACATTAACATGGTAATCAGTGTCAAAAGAAAGTGAAAGGTGATGTCCAACAACATTAAAAACACTCATTAACGCGGTATGGACAAACATATAAGGAGATATATAAATATATATACATACATACATACATACATATATATATATATATATATATATATATATTATATATATATATTTTTAGAGAATACGCAAGTATTTTTTTAATTCATAGATAGA